CATGAAATGACAAGGAAGTCAACAAGAGTCAACGTCTTTGCCTGGAAGGGTATTTTTGTAAATTCACTTATTAAAATTATATCAATCGTAAAAATTGGGAACAGGTCATTACATGATTGAAAATTCTAAAAAGGCCCTTCCTAAGTGCCTAAATTTGGACCGAATAATGGAACCAATAAGGAGGCCCCATCCTTACTCTGTCACTTACGCTACAAGAAAAGTGAGTATTAGGGACATTATATTATATGCAAAAATAATATATTCAGAGTTAGGGGTCGGGGGGGGGGTCGTTCTATCAAGGTGTTAGCCCTTTATCATCGCTTTGAGCGGGAAGAAAGTAGCCTACTTGTAGTTGACGACTAATCCTGGGGTTTGGTTCTTTCTTACCACATTGTGTGGATTTAGAGAGTAAGATTTCTACTATTGTAGTCCGATGACCAAACCTTATGCGTAGCTCGACTCGCCTAATCCTTTATCATCCTTATTGAAAAAAATATTAGATGAAAAAATAAAATTTTACCTCTAATAGTTTTCATTAGGGGAAAACATGCAATTGTCTTTGTTGATTTAGTAGGGACAACAATTGTGACAGCCCGTCCCTAATTTTAAGAATTTTTAAAGTTTTAATAAAGGATTTTACAAAAGTGCCCTTTGAGGTACGTGCATTATTCGAGGTTAATCATCATGTTGTGCCATCTAAGATTTGTTTTCTTGACATATCCTCGAAGTACTCGTCGCTACGGACGCATGGGCGTAGACGGTTCGTTATTTGGAGTTATAACGAAAAAGATTTTAAAGTTTGAACTTTGGGCATTTTATAAATTTTATTATTAAAATTTGGATGGCCCAGATTTAATGAAGATTAAATGGATGGCTTGGATGTAAGGAAAAACAAAAATAAATAAATTTAAGTGAAATAAGGTTTTTGGTGTGTGTGTGCGTGTAAGAAGAAGAAGAAGAAGATTGAGGATTGGGCAGAAACTGCCCAACCAGAAGAAGAGAGAGTCGGAGCTCCGGGAGAGAAATGAGGGAGTCCAGCGAATCAGGAGAAGAGAGAGGGAGAAGCTGACCAACCAGAGGAAGGAAAGGAGGGAAATGAGGGAGAGTGGTGAACGGGGGAAAATGAGGAAACGGGTCATCCTTGACCCGTGCGACCCGTGCCTTCAAATCGGCGGGTTCTCGCCGTTCTCGTTCAATTTTCTGACGAATTGGATCAAGGTACCACTCCCAATTAACACCTAGGCCTTCCCTCTTCACGTTTCACCCCAAAAATCAATGAATTTCGTGGTGATTTCGCGAAGAACACCCACACGGGTGCCGCGACTTTCTTGTCTAAATTCTTCAAATCTTGAAATGTTTTCTTTCAATTACTAACACCATTAGCATTCTTTTAGGACCTAGAACAAAGCCCAAGAAGTAGTAGAGGCGTTGGAACAAGTTTGGAGGTCGAATTGAAGCTCACCCAATTCTAGGGTCCGCACGGAATTTGATGAATTTGAAGTGTTTCCAGGCCAAATTGGCCTTGGCCACAGGTATGAAAGTTGCTCGACTCATTGAGATCTTTAATTCTGTATTTTTGAGAATTTTTGGAAATAGTTGGATTTTCCGACGAACCAGGGCGGCCGACCGCTACCTGCGGCGGCCCGTGCGGCGACGCGTGGCCAATGGCCCGCCAATGTCTCTTAGCATGTGTTTAAGGTTCTAGGTTCAGTTTTAATAATTGATGGACGTAAATTGAGTAATTGAACCTAAGTTCGTTTCGATTCATGGTTAGGTGAAAATGTGAATTGACGATCCGACCGTTGGATGGTAATGAAATTTTAGGATGATGTCCTAGAGGTATATTGTGGACCTCTGGAAGTTATGGATTTGAAATCTGAGTTGCAGATCGTCCGGACCGAACTACGTAGTGACGTGTCTTATATAAGTTATATATTCCATCGATATGAATTCTGAGGTTGGATTTGATTATTGTTCTAGGCGCTGATCGTCTTGACGCCTTGATGTGTGGTGCTACGGAGTTGTTGGGCGAACTCCAGGTGAGTGGGCAGTTTTTGTTTTTTTCGTATTACCTATATACTATTAATTGTCCCAGAAATTGAATTTATATGAAAGTATGTTTTCAATTGCCATGATGCATATAAAAAAATTATATGAATTGATATTGATGCATATATATATATATATATATGTGAATTGGTGCTGTGGACGCACAGGTGAGTATCATGTGAGTTTATATGGTTTATATGAATGAATGATGATGTGAATTATGTTGAGAGCTCATAACCTGCACCTCTGGTGTAAGTGTTTATGTTAGTCACCCTGCATCACACGCTCACCTTGGATCCAAGTAGATGCTAGTCGTACAGACCACTAGAGGTGGTTCCGACATGCCAGTCGTACATCCCATTAGAGGGGTTTCAACTGGTAGGTGACCTTAGATTATGTGCACAGATGATTGATGAGAGAAGCACTAAAGCATATTATTTCACCATATTAGTCGTACAGACTACTATAGGTAGTTCCGACTTATGTGCAGTGTAGTGCCGTACAGGTCACAGTGGTGACTCCGTCAGGGCCGTACAGGTCACAGTTGGTGACTCCGGCTGGATAGGATATTGAGCTATAGAATCAGCCGTACAGGACCACTGTAGGGTCTCCGGTTGATTTATTATTTCGCCTGATTTATATTGATGCATTTATATTATATTTTGGCATATGACATGGTATGACATATTCTTTCTAGAAAGCATTGAAGGATTGTAATTTGAGCTTTTGATGATATATATATGTTTATATATTATTATGTTATTTTCTGGGAAAGTATACAGGTTTTACAGCGAGGGATTAGAAATGTTTTAAATGAAATGTTTTCGAAAAACCTTGTTGTACTAACCCACTCAATTTTGTTTTGCGCCCCTCTAGGTTCTAGTTGCAGAGCTTTAGTGGCTACGAGGAATCCAGCGGTGTTCAGACAGAAGTTACAAAAGTAGGACTCACCCTTGGGTGTTTCATCATAGTAATTGTATTTTTTTAAAGCTTCCGAACTGTGTAAATGGTTACGTCACACTCACGTGACGGCCAGCATGCCCTCTTTCGGGACGGGGTGTGTCAACAATAATTTGCATCTATTAATTTTATTACTTTTAGGGGCAGAAACAATTGTCTTTACTTTATTTAGTTATTAAAGGTGAATGAATTAGCCCCTAATTCAACTAATAATTATTTAAAAATTATTTATTTTTTTCATTAGGGGCTGATGTTTGTACTTATTTATTTAAACTTTTATTTTTCTATTTAAGGTGGATATGTTAATTACAAATTAATGTTTACAAAATATAAAAATAAAGGATATTATTATTTACTAGGGAAAAAAACATTAATTATCTAAACCCTAATTCCAATACAAACCTACTTCCCTCATTTTTCTCTTTTCCCTTCTTCAACTGCCGCACAACTCATCAGATTTCGGCGGAAGAGCAAAAAGACTTGGACTTTGAAGTCTTTCCTTAAGAACGACGAGTGCATGTAAGTCAAGAAGAATCCATTAGGGTTGTTAAGGACACTCTTTTATCACTTTTATTTTTGTATATTATGTCATTCGTTAGGAAAGCGAACTTGTTTTTTCTTTTATCAACAGAAGAAACGGAGAATCAAAATAGTTATCAAAAACTTTAGATAGGTGGTGGGATCTTCAATTTATATTGGGGTGTACTATCTTCACTCCTATTTTTACTTCTCATCACCTCTTGTTAATTTATGTCCTTTGATATTCTTCAATTCATCTTATCCGATGGCTAAAAATTAAAAAGAAGTGTGTAGATGTCACACCCTTTTATATTTTGAAGAGTATTGGAGGAGTGTCAACTCAGCTTTAGTTGTTAAAATAGAGCCTCTAAAGTTGTCAGAAAAGTTGTTAAGTGTTGTAAATAGTGGGTATGTATGCCCACATGCATACAGTAAATTTTTCACATGATTAATAATGTAATTTGTTTGTTTCCAAGGTACTTGCTCTATAAATAGAGCATTACGAGTGTTAAACAATAACAAGAACAACAAGAAAAGAAAGAAAGCTAGAATATTTTTCTGCATTCTCCTATTTCTCTTTTTCCTGCAATCTTTCTGTTATACTTAATAAACAAAACAGTATGATATATTACATCCGTTTCGCTCTCGCTCTTAGCAAATGTTATTTCTCTAACTTTTGTCTATTCATAACACATTATCAGCACGACTCTCTAATCATTTCTCATTTCCCTTCACCGAAAGAAAAAAAAATATTTCCTCTAAGGTTTTTACTGTTCTTCTTCTTCCTTTGCCTCAATTGACGAATATACCCTCGTGAAGAACTGTTTGCACCATGTTTACTTCTAGTTCTCAACCTAACAGTTACATATATCTTTGATTTCTTGTTTGGTGTAACTTGACTACTAACCCAGTGTTTATTTATGCAATCCAAGATGGTGCGGTATCACCGCCTATCTTGGACTGCAAATCTAATTTTAGTGCAAATTTTAGGTGGAGCGGTATAATCGCCCACCCTATCCTACATATTTAAATTTGTCTACTATTTAATTTTATTGCAATTTTAGGTTGTGTGGAATAATCACCCACCCTACTCTGCATATTTAAATTTTATCGCAATTTTAAGTGGTGCGGTATAATCGTCCACCCTGGTCTACATATTTAAATTTTCCTGCTGATTAAAGTGGTACGGAATAATCGTCCATCCTATACTTGTTTCGATGAGAATGGTGTGGTACAATCGCCCTTCTCATTAATCATGTAAATCACAGCCTGAAGTTTCGAGTACTTATCATTTTGGCCTAAAGATCAAAATTTGTAAGAACCAGAAGTTCTAACAATATATTCCTCCATAATACATATTATTGCAAGTTCTTACACACCTCATTTTTGTTTCAGAAAAGAAAATGGCGAACTTGGAAAAGCTTGATTTTGTTGCCCTGGATATTACTGGAAAGAACTACCATACCTGGGTAATGGATGCCAAGATCCATATGGAGGTAGGAAATCTTGGGAAAACCATCAAGGAGGATAATAGTGCATCCTCTCAAGATCGGGTGAAGGCCATGATCTTTATCCGTCGCCACCTTGATGAAAGACTGAAGAGCGAGTACCTCACAGTTAAAGATCCATTAACACTCTGGAAGGCACTGAAAAATAGATATAATCACCAGAAAACGGTGATTCTTCCAAGGGCTCATTATAAGTGGGCTCACATCTAGGATTTCAAGACGGTGGCTGAATACAATTCTACAATGTTCGGAATTAGTTCCCAGTTGAAGCTCTGTGGAGAAACAATAACTGAAGAAGATATGCTAGAAAAGATTTTCAGCACCTTTCATGCCTCTAACATGCTTTTGCAGCAGCAGTATAGAGAAAGAGGCTTTACTGAGTACATATAGCTGATATATATACTCCTTGTAGCCGAGCAAAACAATGAGCTTCTGATGAAGAATCATCAGTCCTGACCTACTAGATTAGCACCATTCCCAGAAGTGAATGTTGTTTTCCTTAAAGGAAATACCACATCCTCTCGTGTAAATAATTACAAACGAGGAAATGGCCATAAGCGAGGCCGGTGGAATGGGAAAGACAAGAACCATGGTGTCCAGTTTCACAACCAAGTTCCAAGGCATAATCCGGGCCCGAGCTTTAAGAATGCAAATCGCTTGAAAGGCAAAGCTCATATGAACACTCCTAGAAATCCTGACGGAGTTTGTCATAGGTGTGGTGGCAATGGACATTGGGCGCGTACTTGTCACACCCCCAAAGCATCTGGTAAATCTGTATCAAGCCTTCCTTAAGAAGAAGGGTGTCGAGACCAATTTCCTCGACCAAGCTCAACCAATGGAAATACCTAATCCAGTATCCAATTTATCAGGACAGTTGAACACAACCCACCTAGATGTTTCAGACTTTATTATTGAAAGAGGGAATGAAATTTATGGGTCCGATTGAATCATTTATGTTTAATGTACTCTTGTTATTTGTACTTGTGCATTAATGCTTGCATTTTCAAGTCAATAAAAGTAGTATTCCAGTATGAATAAACTGCTTTTTAACTATAATTTCTTTACTCAGAGAACATAGATAAAAATTTCTCAAAACAAGAGCAATGGCAGAGACTTGTGTCTTGCAGACAGTGCAACCACAAATTCAATACTTTGAGATCGAAAGTATTTCTCGAACTTGGTACTTGTAAAAGTAAAGGTAACAACAATATCAGGGCAATCAGATGTAATTGACAGCTCAGGAAAAGCCCAGATTATGTTACCAAATGGAATAATATTGTCCATACATAATGCATTATATGCTACTCGATCCATTCGAAATTTGTTGAGTTTTAAAGACATATGTCTAAATGGATACCACATTGAAACGAAAAGTAGAAAATGTGGAATATTTATGCATTACCTCCAATGATACCCAGAAGCGTATATTGGAGAAGTTGCATGGTTTATCGAGTGGATTGTATTACACATACAGAAAGAAAGACAATTGAGGCACATGCTGTTATGAACCAGAAGTTCATGGATTCAAAAGTTTACATGCTTTGGCATGATCGTCTAGGTCATCCAGGATCCACCATGATGCATATGGTCATTACCAACTCTAAGGGACATCCATTATTGAGTAGACACATTACTACCTCAAATGATAAACCGTGCAAAGCTTGGTAACTAGACCATCACAACTAAAGGTTGATGATGAATCCCCATCATTTTTGCAAAGAATTAAAGGGGATATTTGTGGACCTTTTCAACCACCTTGTGGACCATTTTGATATTTTATGGTTTTGGTTGATGCATCTACCCGATAGTCACATGTTTGCCTATTGTCTACTCGAAATGTAGCTTTTACGAGACTTCTTGCTCAGATAATTAAGTTGCGAGAACAGTTCCCAGATCATCCCATTAAGTCAATTCGACTTGATAACGTTGGTGAATTTACGTCTCAAACCTTTGATGATTACTGCATGGCACTAGGCATTGATGTTGAACATCATGTTCCCCATGTCCATACTCAAAATGGTTTAGCAGAGGCATTTATCAAGCGGTTTCAATTAATAGTCCGCATTCTGCTCATGAAAACGAAATTGCCAGTCTCTGCATGGGGATATGTCATCTTACATGTTGCATCATTGGTTTGATTGAGACCCATAACCAACCACCAATACTCATCAATACAACTCGTGTTTGGACATCAGCCAAACATTTCACATTTACGAGTTTTTGGTTGTGCTGTTTATGTGTCTATTGCACCGCCACAATGCACTAAAATAAGACCTCAGCGTAGACTAGGAATTTATGTGGGTTTTGATTCACCATCTATCATTAGATATTTGGAACCTTTAACAGGTGATATGTTTACAGCTCGTTTTACTGATTGTCATTTTGATGAGACAGTCTTCCCGTCGTTAGGGGGAGAAAAGACTGTTCCAGAAGCACAGCAAGAGCTGACGTGGGTTGTTCCCACCTTATCTCATTTTGATCCGCGAAGCATTCAATGTGAAAATGAAGTGAAAAGGATCGTCCATCTTCAAAGTATTGCTAATCAAATGCCAGATGCATTTAATGATGCTTCGAAAGTGACAAAGTCACATATACCAGCTGCAAATGCACATGCAAGAATTGATGTCCCTGTTGGACAAAATAAAGTGGTAGTGAATGATTAATCTAGTGCATGCCTGAAGCGTGGTAGACCCCCAGGTTCAAAGGATTCAGTCCCTCGAAAGAGAAAGATGAGGGCACAGTTGAACCCAAATGAAATCATTCAGGAAAAGAAAATGAATGATAAATCCACAATTCATGATTATGTACTTCCAGAAAAAGAAAATGTCATTGATGGGACACATGTCCCTGAAGAGATAGAAGTACATGAAAGCAAAGAAATATCCATAAATTATACATGTACTAATGAATTATGGGAACAAAATGAAATAATCATCGATGACATGTTTGCATTTGCAATAGCCACTGAAATTATATTATGCGATGACATTGAGCCCCGTTTTGTTGAAGAATGCAAGATTGGCCTAAGTGGAAAGATGCAATACAGGCAGAATTAAATTCCTTGGAAAGGTGAAGTGTTTTTGGACCAGTAGTCCAAACCTGCCTGGGATAAACCCTGTTGGTTACAAATGGGTAGTCACAAGGAAACACAACAAAAAAACGAGATTGCAAGATATAAAACATGACTCGTTGCACAAGGTTTTTCATAAAGACCTGGAACTGATTATGAAGAGACATACTCTCCTGTAATTGACACAATTACGTTCCGTTACTTAATACGTTTGATGATTTCAGAAAAACTTGACATGCGACATATGGATATCATCACCGCGTATCTATATGGAGAATTAGATACTGACATATATATGAAAGTCCCAGAAGGACTTAAGTTGCCTAAAGCAACTAACAAACCACAAGGTATGTTCTCAATCAAATTAAGGCGATCACTATATGGGCTGAAACAATCTGGGCAAATGTGGTATAATTGTCTCAATGAGTATTTGATTAAATAAGGATATACCAACAATGTCATCTGCCTTTGTGTGTTCATTAAGAAATCAAATATTGGATTTGCTATAGTGGCAATATATGTTGATGATATGAACCTAGTTGGAACCCTTGAAGAGCTCAATAAAACTGTTGAATATTTGAAAAGTGAATTTGAAATGAAAGACCTTGGGAAAACAAGATATTGTCTCAGCCTGCAGATCGAGCATTGTGCTAATGGAATTTTGGTCCATCAATCAGCTTACATTGACAAAATACTGAAGCGATTTGGCATGGACAAGGCTTATCCACTTAGCACCCCAATGGTCGTTCATTCTTTGGATATTAAGAAATATCCATTCAGTCCAAAAGAAGATGATGAACTGGTCCTTGGTTCAGAAGTGTCATATTTGAGTGCAATAGGTGCTTTATTGTATTTAGCACAATGTATTAAACAAGATATAACTTTTTCAGTCAACTTGTTAGCAAGATATAGTTCTGCTCCAACAATTCGTCATTGGAATGGAGTCGAAGATGTTCTACGATACCTTCGTGGGACAACAGATATGGGTCTCTTCTACTCAAACAAGCCCACAAATGACCAGATCCTTGTTAGATACGCAGATGCTAGTTTTCTCTCCGATCCGCATAAAGCCCACTCACAAAATGGATATGTGTTCACTAATGGAGATACTGCAATTTCATGGCAATCAACGAAGCAAACGTTAGTTGCTACATCTTCCAATCACTCAGAAATAATTGCTTTACATGAAGCAAGTCGTGAATGTTCTTGGTTAAGATCAATGATTCATCACATCCGAAATTCATGTGGTCTACCTTCAAAGACAAACACTCCAACTGTCATCCATGAAGATAATGCAGCCTATGTTGCCCAAATAAAGGAAGGATTCATCAAGGGTAATAAGACTAAACACATATCTCCAAGGTTTTTCAGTGCACATGAGCTTTAGAAGGCTAAAGTTATTGAAGTCAGACAAATCCGTTCCAATGAAAATTTAGCATACTTGTTCACCAAATCTCTAACAACGTGCTAATGCAAGGAATCGGATTACGTTGGCTTACAAATTTGAAGAATACGAAATCAGGGGGATATACAATTCAAGGGAAGCATCCACGATACATGCATGTTGTACTATTTTTCCTTTGATTAGGATTTTTCCCACTAGGTTTTTCCTATCAAGGTTTTAATGAGGCAACATAAGCATTCTCAACACCATATCAATAAACTTGGTAAAGTTGTACTCTTTTCCTTCGCTATAGTTTTTTTCCCATTGCGTTTTTCCAAGCAAGGTTTTAACGAGGCAACTGATGTTGATATGTGGGCATCCAAGGGGGAGTGTTGTAAATAGTGGGTATGTATGCCCACATGCATACAATAAACTTTTCACATGATTAATAGTGTAATTTTTTTGTTTCCAAGGTACTTGCTCTATAAATAGAGCATTACAAGTGTTAAACAATAACAAGAACAACAAGAAAAGAAAGAAAACTAGAATATTTTCTGCATTCTTCTATTTCTCTTTTTCCTGCAATCTTTCTGTTTTAGTTAATAAACAAAACAATGTGATATATTACATCCGTTTCGCTCTCACTCTTAGCAAAGGTTATTTCTCTAACTTTTGCCTATTTATAACATTAAGAAGGTTGTTAGTAGTTATTTAGCTTAAGAGCATCTACAAAAGCTCTAAGTGTTTGTTAAACTTAAAAAATTTATTTTAGTTTCCCTTCAATTTTTTTTTTCTAACAACACTCCCTATTTTAATAAGCTTTGAATATTTTATTATTAACAATTCAAATCCAACCTACTCATTTTTTAAAATAGTCTTCTATCTCTTTCTTTTTTCCTAGGGAAGGGTCCACCATTGAGTTTTATTATTTTTTCA